TTGTGCTTGTATTGTATTTTATGTACATATAAGATCAGTTACATGTAATACAATTCAGCAGTCCATACTTTCCTTTCTTTATGTACTGCTGCCATGTTGAACAATTTTTGAATGAAGAATAAAGATATCTCGCAAAACTACCCCCGAGGAACCAAGAAAGACCTGTTCAGGAACGATAGCACTTTTATGTCTTTAAGACCTAGAATTTGTCCTTCAGTTCCTCCTACACGTGTCATGTGTCTTAAGAACTTTACGCAGAAAGCTCCTGGCTTGTTGGTACTGGTACTACTGATAAGGTGCCGGCTGTGAGCGGGGTTGGGGGGCTACCGGCTCACACTCCCTCCTGTACAGATAACGGGTATTATCGTAGTTACCGCGGGTAGGGGAGCTCCCGAGTTTCCGCTGGGTTCCTTATTGGATCAGCTTTATACTCCTTGCCTGGGGTTGCCTTCATCCGCTCAGTTTCAAGGGTAAAGTTGGAAACAAGGCACGTCTTGATAGGATGGTTTTGAGTTAAGGTTTGTGTAGACTGGCTCGTTGTTTTGTTGCACATATTTTTACACCTATTGTTTTGGTCTTCACATGTCTTTTTACCTATAGTATGTATCTCTTTCTTTGGTATTGGAACGGCATTTGGAATTGATTTTGGATTACGTCAGTGATTTGACGACTTGGGTTTGTTACTTTGTTATTATCTACTTTTGTTTGCTTTACTTCTTTTATATGTTTCTCAGTGTTACTGATTTTACATAGTTGAAAATACATAGTTAAGACAATATCTTATTGTTGAGCCGAATTTATGTGTATATTGAATGTGTTTCATTGTGGTAGACCGTGCCTAATTGGAAACCATCTTGTTAGAAGCTGAACGGACCTGCCTCTGTAAATCAATACTTAAAATAAGTAAGGCTGAAGAAACTTTCAGATTCTAACAAAATTCGTTACACTTACAACCTGTCATACCCCGCCTACACAGCCTACCTGAATGGCACCTTAAGGTAAGATACGCCAACGGAAAACTCCCTTAAGTACACTTCATCGTACCTGCTTCATATGTCTTACACGATAAAATGTGCCCATCAATCTGCCAAAAACTCGCTACATTAGTAGATTTTGGAAAGCTTGCCTGCTAAATTACGCAGATCACTCAAAATAACAGGAATCTTTCAAGATTTTCATACCCCACACAGTAGAAAAAATCATTAATCATGTCATTTCAGTACCGGTTTAGACCTTATATCAAAATTTTAACGTTGTAAAAACTTAGTCAACGTCAAATAAAAACCTTCGCTTTCTCAATAGATTAGTTTTAATATTCCACTTAACGTGCGTTAAAAGGGTTGTTTGTATAATTAAGAGACAGTAAGCTCATTCCAACTACCAATAATCTAAATAACTTATACATATCTGACTTAAAACTGCCATCTCACCAATAACATTATACTAGTACATAAAACACTCTCACTCTATTACACCGAGTCCTGATTTAAAATATATGCGCTCAGAGAGAACTAAAAACTATAAACGTGACAAGTTCAATCACCAGTGTGAACCGATCTCTTACATACCGTTAAGTACGGTACAGATTTCCTGTGTACATGTGTATAAACCGCTAAATCCAACATTTTGTGAAGTGAGCCTGTATATCTACAACATGTAACTCAAGCCGTTACACTTAGCTATTAGAAGACCATGTTTCAGGTAAGTCTGACAGGTGTGGTATTTGAGAATGGTTGAAGCAACAACGGCAACAGATCCCAGGTAAGTCTTATAATGGTTTCGCGAAAGATCAAATGCCAAAAGCAACCATTAGTAGACTCACGTGGCATTTCTCACCAACGGTAAAATCCCACTGCTCGCGCAGTTTCTCAAACGACAATCTCTCTCTCCCAATTACATCGAGTCCGCCTTAGTTCCACACGTCAGTCGGCGTTTACCTAATTGAATTGAAGACTACACACGTCACAAGTGGCTATACATGTATATCCCCAGTGTATAACGATCCCTTAGGCCACAGCAAGTAAATTTTGTGGATGACATCCTCCGAAGACTCCACATCTAATGCGATCGGGCGAAAAAAAAACAAGGCGGGCAGAAGAAAAAAAAAACTCAATCATTGTACAAGTAGTTTTGATTCAGTGGGAACATTACATATACACAGCCAGCATCACATATCACTGCATCAAAGTAAGAAACAAAACATTAAATCAGAGCCTTTTCTTGTCTCCTCTCTTCATAGTTATCTGCCATCCACCTTCCGGCATGGCAACAGACATCTTTTCGACATGGTGACCACTGTCAGAAGTCAACGAAATTTCTTTTTTTTTCCAAAACCAAGCGAAACTTAATGCGTGTGCTGATGTCATCCATAAAAATTACTTGCTGTGGCCTTCCATCCCGCTGCCTCCCTCCCTGACGCCTGTCTGTATCAGCCTGAGACGTATATCACACGCCTACAGTACAATCAACCAGCGCTGGGAAGCTTTATTATAGCTCAGTACCTCAGCTAAAAGGTTGGGTTTAATGTCCACATACCCGGGGGATCTGTAGCTGGCTTAAGGGATCTTTCCCTCCCCTTTAACATTATCACTTTAATCTATTCAAGACGTGAGATGTTTTAAAGGAGTTAATTTCTAGTCATAATTCGCCACGTAAGTGTTTGTATGAGCGGGTACTGTCATCTGTAAGATAGTTTTCGTCTGTAAACTCCTACGCTAATCGTTGAAGGGATAGGTAATGATTACTTTTGACATTCATTCTTTACAATTTCATAAGAGCAACAGAAGTAAGTTACAGGAACATAAACAGTCAAGTAGGTACTAACTTAAAGGTAGAACTACGAACGTCATTCTTCTACTCGAACAGTTTTACACACACGTAGTATCATCTTTATCGCTCCCAATTCGGCAAACGCCTATCCGTCATACGCCATATCCTAATAGCCCCCCACCAAAAAACGTGGTAGCTGGCGACATTAGGGAGCGGGTGAATACTACGGAGGATGGCACCCAGGCTAGTTTTACACACATGTAGTGAACTCAAGAACTCAAGAATTATTTATTGATCAATGGCAGTAAACTTGATACAAGTCACTGAATTGCAAATCAATGTACATTTCATTATCTTAAAATCGAGAGTTTATAGTATTGCATATTAATTAAGTTAAAATTCAGAGTCATTAGGAGGTTAAAATACAAAGTCATCCTTTGTATTTTAGTCATCCTTTTAGTATCATCCTTATCGCTCCCAATTCGGCAAGTCCCTATCTGCCATACTCCACCGTACGCCATATCCTAATAGCCCCCACCCAAAAACGTCAACAAAGTTCCATGAACGCATTCATCACACCTACAATACTGTCATCATCTCGTTCAGAAAATCTTCCCAAGCCACACCTAAATGTAAGGTGAGAGAAGCCAAGCAGATAAACGCCCGCCCGCCAGGAGCAGCTGAAGTACACTTTGAGATATCGGTTCCTGAAATGTCGCCAAGGAAAGTATGTCTTAAGATGGTGTGTCAAGAAGCGACGTATCTCAAAACGTCAGATGTTGGTAGCTGGAAGGAAGACGCGCATTGTACGCGCCGTGGTTTAACTTCTTAGGAATGTTTGGTAACTGGTGGGAAGATACAAATTACGGGATCAATTGGCAGCCTGTGTTTATTTTTATCTGTCAGTAGTTGAGGAAATGAACTGCGCGTAAGTTGCTTCTAAGTGTTACCCTGCAAGGGAAATGAAAGATACGTACAAAGCTCTATTCCACGGGTGGGCAACGATCTGTGACAATGGCCTCAGCGCAGGAAAAGGTTTCCGTAAGTCATGCCTACCTGAAACTATGCCAAAAACCAGTTATGAATACCTTGGGGGAACTCTGGTATCAGTTATGAGATTTCTTGAAATTAATGTCCACAAAAACAATATTGCGTAGTCTTGCCAAGAAAAAAGAAAAAAGTTCAGCAAGTTTCGGAACTTGACCTAAAAATCGACCAAGCATCCATCGCAACCTGGCGGTCTGTGACAATTTCCTCATCATAGGAAAGATTTCCGTAATTCATGCCTTCCTCAAACTACCAAATGTAAAGAAAAATACGCCGCTGCTGAAACTATGTAAACGAGTTATTAATACCTAGGGGAACTCAAATTTCTATAGATTATTATCAAGAAAAACAATATTGCATAGTCTTGCCAAAAGAGAAAAAAAAACTTCTCAACGTTCCTTTCGGAGCTTGACCTGAAAAACTTACCCGACATCCATCCCGAACCGCGGCCGCTAATGGCGGCTGACCCTCCATTTCCCTCGTGTAACAGGCTTACAGCAGATCCGCCTGCAGCAGCGGGGGTCTCCATCAGCCGCGCGCCGCAGAAACTGCTGCAGAACTAATCACGGTCATCCGTTATGTTGCAGGCATGACCGCGCAGGGCTGCATCGGGCTGCACAAGCTCCTAGAGGCGGCACAAATTACATATTTGCATAATTGTCACATAATCATATCAAGCATCACGTAAGCTACCTACATACCAAAAATCACGACGATCCGTCAACCGGTTCTTGAGTTATCCTCTTTTGAATATTTTAAAACAGATAGCCCTGCAGTTCCAGAGCAAGCCGCTAGGGGACCCAAACTCACGTCACTTCCAGATCTCATTAAGACATACCCACCTATGAAATATCAATTCAATTTATTAAAGCCTTATCAAGTTATCGTGTTTACAGACACTCACACACACACACAAACACACAGACAGACAGACAGATGCACACACAAACACAGACAGATACACACACACACGCACACACACACACACACACACACACACACACACAAACACAGACACACACACACACAGACAGACAGATGCACACACAAACACAGACAGACACACGCACAAACAAAGACAGACACACACACACACACACACACACACAACCTTCTTGGCGAAAGTAATCACGGCCACTCGTTATGTTACAGGACTGACCGCGCAGGGCGGAATCGGGCTTCACATGGCTAAGAACTTCCAGGCCATCTTAGGAGATCCCGTCACATTGCCGGCTACGTATTCATCAGATTACAAGGTGGTGGCGGTAACGTGGTACAAAGTACAGGGCAACGACAGGTCTAAACGAACCATGATCTTCAATTACGCCCCGGCGTTAGGGATAAGGGAGGCCTACGGTGCGTACGTTGGCCGGGCAGATATAATAGATGGCGCTGGTCTCAGGATAAACCCCACCAGGCTACACGATGAAGGGCTGTATGTGCTGGTGGTCATGGTGGCTGGTGTGCCGAGTGAGGAGGGCTTTGTGTATCTGTCCCTGCTGGGTAGGTATTATTTCATCAGGTGTACCGGATCGCGCACATTCATCGTAAGACACAGTATAACTTTGCTGCCGTTAGATATTCAAGCAGGCTGTGGCCGAAAAAACTACCTTCATTCAAGACCAAATGCAGCCTTTACAGTTCCAAACAAGACGGCTGAATTTCGTTTGCAACATGCACGAATAATACAGGAATGTTTGGAGTTTGTAATCGTAGGGCGATCGTATGGTGTATGTGACCAGGTCCTAACAGTGCAAGCAAGTCAATTTTACATTTCTGCTATTTCAATCTTTATCTCACAAGTCCTACTGATACAGAATAGTGGAATAAGGAGCATATCAATGGAAAATCATAAAATACAACGAAACACAAGGGGGCGATTTTGCAACGATTCCAAAACGCCTGAACGACTGTTCGGTATGTACAACAAATTGGATGTTTTGAAATAACTTCTCGGACATCTGTCAAAGATCTTGCACAAAACTTTGGAACACAAACTGGGCTTTCCCATAAGCCACGCTTGGCATAAAACCGTAATATAACGCGTGTGATGTTACAGAAATGATATATTACCTCATTTATGTCCACATACGCGTTTTATCGAGCGCTAAACGTCGGACTGGCCAGGTAATTTGAAAACCTGGTGGGGTCGTTTCACCTCGTGTTATACCGTGTTTAGGGCCGTGATTGATCATGTTGGCTTTACAGCCAAACGATGTTATATAACTGTAGAGCAATCCAAACAGGATAAAATACGGCCAATTGACGCAGTTGTAAAAAGGCGGACTTGCTTCAAAAGTAACAAACTTGTGTTGGGTATGTATGATCACGGTTTTGACTAGACAGCATTGAGTAAATGTGAGTGGCGATGACGAAATGAACGGAAAAAACTGAATCAACGGAAAACTTTAAATAGATAAAGGTAAATCCCTGTTATTCCGTTTGGTAGACCTTAGATGTTTGTAGATTTTTCAATTGATCTTCATCAGTACATATCGTCTTAGTTGTATCACTGCACGAAAAGCTGGCTTTATGAATGGTAGTAAATGCCACTAAAGGCGAGTAATGTTCACGTTGTAAACAGCACCGGAATTTACAATTGTAGCAAATAAAACTCAAGGTCAGTAATTCCATTTAGTACATTTGATGTTGTTTCCCGGACTTGGCTTCATTTACTGTCATTGTAAAGTCTGGTGCTGTCTACAAAGTAAACATAACCCAACTTTACTGGCTTTTACTACCATTTGTACTTCCAACTTTTCGTGCAGTGTATCAAATAAAAAATATCACTTGGAAATTAAAAAAAAAACTTGTTTATATGATAAAATTCAAGGTCAGTATCTTATTTACTACCATTTTAAAGCCCTGTACTGTTTACGAAATAAACACTACCCGAGTTTACTGGTTTTTACTTCCATTGGTAAATCCAGCTTTTCGTGCAGTGTACATATAAAAAAAAGGCCGGAAATGAGAAAATGTTTTATATCATCTCCCTTCCAGTTCCTCCGGAAGTGCAAGTCGGGCCCACAAGTCCTTTCGTCGTGACGTCAGGTAAGACAGTGACTCTGACATGCGCGGTGAGGAACGCCAAGCCTAACGTGACGTCACTGCACTGGGAGAAAGATGGCTTCCCAATCGAGACCTACGGATTCGACACGAAGTACTCCGGCGGGAACGTGCGGACGCCATCTTTGAACATCCATCACGTGACCAGGACCGACTCCGGGCGGTACAGCTGCGTGGTGGATCACGTGATCCAGACGGCGAGTGACGAGATGAAGGTTGACGTTCAGTGTAAGGAGTTTCTGTTTGGTGTAATTTGATACTATTCAATCGTGTGATCGTGTGTAAAGTAAGGTAAGGTAAGGTTTACTGTCTTACCCCCACCGAAAGACCTGCTTGGAGATTACTTACTGCACACAGGTGTTAAATTGGTACATGACTTCGGCTGGGGGGGCCAAAGGCCATGGAAGGAGAAGGATGGGCTCCGCCTTCAAAAAACCGTGCCCTAGTAACAGTGGATAACAACCGACTGCCCCTACAGTATCAGAAAAGGCTATGTGACCAGAGGTACCTTTCATATTCCATTAGAAATGTTAACATAAGTAATAATGACGGATTATGATAATATTTTTTTCAGATCCGGCGTCCATAATCAGCATGTCGGACACAAGTGCCGCCACAGTGTTCGATCACGTGACCCTACAGTGCGTTGCCGATGGCAACCCGCCGCCTAACATCACGTGGACGAGAGACGGCATCCCATTGGCCGCCAGGTCGCACGTCCTGTCACGTGACGTGCGCGCCAGTTCCGTCATCCTGCGTGACGTCCAAGTGAACGACACGGGAACTTACCTGTGCGCCGCCATCAACTTTGTCGGGGAGGGCGACGTGAAGAAACTACATCTCAAGGTACAAGGTAGGGTCATAAACCTATCAATGAGCTTTTATCCATAAATTAACATACTCAGAGATTTCATTCGGTCAATATTTGGCCTGTCGAAAAACAGCGATGCCCGCAAGACCTTGTACTTTTAGATGTCCTAAGGCTCACTGATTTAACTGATAAAACGTGTTAATCAGAATCACTTGTTTGTAAGTTCAGTGGTGGATCAGTCATACTAAGAAGTAAGGCCATAGAGATGACCAGACTTATCCCTATGCCACTGCTGGAAACGACATAGAAAACTGGTAAGTTTCAGTAACAACCAATCAGAGCTGAAAAAAGCCAAGAAGTGTAATTGATTTCTGTAACTCAATTTTGAACCGTGACGAAGATTCCGTCTTTCAGCCACTTTTGATGCACTCCTGACGTCATCATGTTTCCAGATTCCGGAACTTCAGCGAAGAGAATCATATGATGAAGATCGATGAGATCTACTAATCTACTGAAAATTCATTGTAAGTTTTTCAGATGTGTTGTAACAAAGTCTAAAATTTCACAACTAAAGTCTCTGTCCCGTTTGATGCTCCAACAGCTCCGGGGGCCAGCTTGTCGTCCACCACCATCGCCATCATAGTGGGTTCCACAGCAGGAGGACTGTGGCTGCTCATCTGTATCGTCATCTGCGTGTACGGCATCAGGAGGCGGAGAAGGGCGAAGGAGAAGAAGAAGTTCGCGTTCTACTACAACATGGGTCGCCGTGATCCGCCCGTAGGAAAGAGTCCCAAGCGAACAAAGGGTAGTGAACCGCCTCCGTACGTCGTGCTACCTGGTAGGTAAACTGGTATATTTATATATCATTATATATTGTCAGGTGGTATTGTTAGGTTTGATTGTTTGCTTTATATTATAATATTTCCCACATTTGCACACTCGATACGAACGGAGGTCATTGCAGTAACTAAGCATTCTTTTAAAGTAATTCGTACCTGTCTGTTACTAGTATCCAGAATCAGCCAATCCACCAATAAGAAAACAGGATCTGGGCCATCGGCAAGCGTGTTCGCTATTTCCAGTTGCTAGGGTGTTGCTACGGGGTGGGGGCAAGGCTTTGGGAACGGTCTATTACATAGAAAATCTATTGTCTCACCGCATAGACACATTCTCTTGACCAATTCATGAACAATTGATGATTGTTGTTAAAGTGCACAGCAGTGGGACAGCTAGACGCCACAAGACCTCACTGTCCTCAACTTCCTGTCTATATGCATGGGTGCTGTAAGCTTGTCGATTATTGTATCGCAGTGCCCACATATAGCCAGGATACTATGTTGTTAAAGATATTGTCTTCCATACACATAGATTGATACTTCCTATGGTAAGTTGTGTCTATGTGAATAAATGAATGTCGCTATAAACCCGTCCAGAAGATCAAGCTGCCACAAACTTGAACCTTCCATCTGTTAAGACCCTAGGCTTGATTCATGAAAAAAATACTAAATTTGCTGATTTCGCTATTCTTGCATGCTAAACGAAATAATGTAGTACTAAGAACTATATGTTTCTATGATGTTGGAGGCTGATATTGCCATAGTCACAAGTAATCCTGGACTGAATTTCGTAGTGGTAAACAATTCTGAGCTTCTGTTGATAGTCCTCATTTTTGATAAAGGTGAACGACCAGAGAAACTATATGGGGAGAGACTCCATAGACCTGTATACAGTTTATGTAATAAATCTGTATCAGTTTAGCCGGTATAACCGCCCTTCGGCATAACATGCCAGCTTCGCGGCGCGGTGGCAGCTGGCTACATTACACCGATCGACTTGTTACACCTACCCCTTGAACATCTAACTATAGACATTGTTTAACCCTACCTAGACCGGGGGGGGGCTAAAAGTGCCCGCGGCAACTTTGATGTCACCTAGCGTCTGAACGGCTAGCCGTAGAACGACCAAACTTGGTGACTTTTCCTAAAATATTGTTGGCAACAATTCTCTATCATTGGAATAAGATAATAATATTTTGTGTTGCCATGGCAACGGGTTTCTGACAGGCATTTTTTGCTAAATTTAGTACTTTTTGTTTCAACAATAGAATTTTATGGGTTTTATGTCAAGTTACTCATGGTTTATAATATTAATAACATCCCATATAATTTTATGTAAAATTTATTATTAAATATGCATAATTTATGCTAATTTGATGACGTCATTGGCCAAAATCCAAGATGGCGGACCATATCATTAGAACAGGTATATACGGGTTATTTTCATTAAAATTTCATCAATACTTCCATTTCTTTTTACAAAAAGGTTTGAATGAATGTGTTTAGTATGTTTACAATGTATTTTAGGCTTTATCATGAAAAAAAACTATTTTTGAAATTCAAGATTGATGATCCAAGATGGCGGATATCTTAAATATGCATGACGTCATTTTATGACGTCACCGGTGTTGCTATGGGCAACATAAGACTTATTACACACTAATATTCTGTCATAACACTTTTGGAAAGTTATGTTGTATACCAGGG